CCCCAAAACCCCAAAACCCCAAAACCCCAAAACCCCAAAACCCCTTCCAAGAAAACTCAGATTGAATTTATCTAATATCCAACGATAATTAGAGCTTTGGATTCCTGAAATTCTTTCCAGCGTAAACTGCTTTATCACCTAGTTCTTCTTCAATTCTCAACAGCTGGTTGTATTTAGCAAGTCTGTCAGATCTGCATGGGGCTCCAGATTTGATTTGGCCTGTTCCGAGACCAACTACTAAGTCAGCGATGAAAGTATCCTCTGTCTCTCCTGATCTATGGGAAACCATAACTCCCCATCCTGCTTCTCTAGACATGTTGTTAGCTTCAATAGATTCCTTGAGAGAACCAATCTGGTTTACTTTGAGCAACAAAGCATTACAGAGTTTCTCATCAATACCAGCCTGGACTCTCTTTGGATTAGTTACGAGAAGATCATCTCCGACAATTTGGACCTGATCACCAACTCTAGCTTGCATGGCTTTGTAGGCTGAGAAATCATCTTGGTCGAATGGATCTTCGATTGAAACAATAGGATATTTGGAGATCATTGATTTATAATGATCAATGAATTCATCCTGTCCCAAGATTCTATCTTTCTTTCCTGTCTTAAAAGAGAGATCGTATTTTCCATCAAAGTAGAACTCAGAAGAGGCTACATCGAGACCGATCTTGATCTTTCCTTCATGTCCTGCTTCCCTGATAGCATCAGTGATGAGGTCAAGAGTTTCCCACTCATCTTGGATTTGAGGAACTCCAAATCCTCCCTCATCTCCAACATTGGCAGCAGATTTTCCATATCTTTTCTTGATAAGATTAGCAAGACTATGATAGACCTCAGTACCAAGTCTAATACCTTCAGTGAATGAAGTAGCTCCAGTTGGAAGAATCATGAACTCTTGCATGGCCAATAAGTTTCCTGCATGCTCTCCTCCGTTAATGATATTCAAAGAAGGAACTGGAAGAACAAATCTGTCAGTTGGCTTTCCAGCAAGCTCAGCAACATGTTGGTATAGTGGGATTCCTTGGGCCTTAGCACCTGCTCTAGCAGCTGCCAATGATACAGCAAGGATGGCGTTAGCACCGACCTTAGTCTTGAATGACCCCCATTCGCTTTGAGTTCCATCAACTTCTTCGATCATCTTAGTATCAATTCCAAATTGATCTGCTACATCGTGACCCTTGAGAGCTGGTGCAAGAAGGGTGTTTACATTGTTGACAGCCTTGGTTACACCTTTTCCCAAATATCTTCCAGGGTCTTTATCTCTAAGCTCCAAAGCTTCATAGATTCCTGTAGAGGCTCCACTTGGAACAGCAGCTCTGAACAGATCACCGGTGGAAGAGGTAAGGTCAACTTCAACAGTTGGATTACCTCTTGAATCTAGAATCTCTCTAGCATGAATATTTGCAATAGTGGCGAAGTTTCTAGCGCCCACTGCTTTGTAAGCAGCTCTCCTTCCTAGGAACATTTTCTATACAGCAAAGGTCAGATAAAAGCTTCAAAATTTTTTGATAAAATCAGGGTCTAGTCTTAACTGATACAAAATTTTAGTTGAATGTTCCTGATTTAACTAAGATATGTAACCATGATGCAAGATTCTTACCTTTTATTATTAACTTTCAGCAAAATTTTCTGAATTAGGGGTTTTGGGGTTTTGGGGTTTTGGGGTTTTGGGGTTTTGGGG